TTCCATTCTGTTCCGGCCTTCAACTGCTTGGCTGGGGCCCGTCTGCATCAGGGAGCACAATCTGCTTTGTTCAGCCTGCTGGTTCAAATGCTAATCTCACCTGGAAACTCCCTCACAGACCCAGAATAATGTTTGACCAAATGCCTGGGCACCGCGTGGCCCAGTCATGTCAACGCGGAAATTAACAATTAATATTTCACTTGCCCTCTCAGATATGTCACCGCTTACATCTCCTACCTCTTGCCTCCTCTCCGCAAGCTGCTCCCCTTTAATGTCGGTTAGCCTCAGGGTCTGCCTTGGGCAGGTTTTCCTCTGCCCACTCTCCTTGGGGGACTTTGGCTCCTCCCATGACAGTGACTGTCTACACTTCCACGAGTCCCACATTTGTAACACCAGCCCTGCTCTCGCCTCTGAACTCTCAATTCGGTGTTGAGAAGCCACAAAGTCCTTGTGACTGATACCATGTCCTCCATCCCAGGGCAGTAGCTGCTTCATGGCCTGCCTTCATAAGGTTATGTGATGAGGCATTTCCTTTTGTCACAAACGTCAACTACAATGCTCACTTGGGTATATACGGCACATGTGAACGTTCCCACAACCGTGTGAGAAAGGTCTTAGCAGCAGCTCTCCTGCCCCAGCGCCTCCATGCTCTCCCAGTTAGGGAATATTTATCTCAACAACAGCGGATGCTGGAATAGATGTGGGTCTGGTACCATGCGGCACACTTAATAACCTGTGACATTCGCTTTTTGGGCATTGTGGAAGAATACATTCTCAACTCCACCTAATCTAGGATGGCTTTAATGACTTCCACCCATTGCTATGGAAGATGATGCCCAGAAGACCAAGAGGAAAAACTAAACGTGCGTGGATGGTGGAGGGAAACGCATGGGTTAGCATGCAGGGGGACTTGGTAGCAATTTTCTTTTTGGCATCTTCAATCTCAGTAATCCCCAAACAGAGCTCATGTTTGCCCACCATCTTTCCCCAGACATTTTCCTCTTCCTGAGTTACTAGTATTTCAGTGAACACCATTGCTGAGATTGTTGTCCAAGACAGAAATCCATGGTCGCCCTTAACTCCAGGCTCTCCCTGTCCCCTACATCTACCCAATTATAAATCTAGCTCAATACACCTGCTTCTCTCCACCCCTCTGCCAGTGCCTTCATTCTAGCGTCCAGTCTCTTGCCTGGGTTCCTGCGATTGTCCCGCCCCTCAGCCCACCCTCCACACAGCAGCCACAGCAGTCTTCCTGAAACACAGGAAAATGTCACCCCACCTTATGGCCTTCGATGGCTTCCAACCCTTTTTAGGATGAAGCCCTAACTCCTTAATAGGGCCTGATGACTTCTTTGGTTTTTTTCTCCACCAGTTTGTGTGGCTTGGGCAAGTTACTTAAGCTCTCATTGACTCCCTTTTCTCATCTATAAAATGGAGTTAATAACAGGGCTGGTATGAGAGTTCATTCATCTCAAGTGCTGGTAACAATGCTCCACAAAATTTATTGCTCTATTATTAGTCAACATTGCCATTTTTCTCTTGGAACTCTACAATCTAGCCACACAGAATGCCTTTTTTCGCTTGTCAGAGGCCATGGGCTCTCTCACCCCCACACCATCCCACTTCCTGTCCCCTCCCAGCCCTACCCTGTTCCCACTCTTACCCTGCTGGCGCCAGTCTGCTGGTCGCCCTTCAGGTCTCAGCTTCGAGGTCGCATGCCCCAGGAAGTCTCCTGTGCTCCTCAGTGTGGCCTAGGGCCCCCTCTTCATGCTTTCTCGACCCCAGGACTGTCCCTACTTAAACACTGGTTACTCCGTGTCCTCCACAGGACAAGCTGTGGCACACTGGGCTGTGCCTGCCTTAGCTGTAGTGTCACCTGAGGCTTCCTCAGAGGTCTTCTGGGTGCCTGCCTGCCTGCCCAGGACTGTAGGGTAGTGCTTCAGGGCCATTCTCCATGCCGAAGGCCCACATTTGCCAGAGATGCCCTTGGAGGCTCCTGGCTAGAGCTAGGTAGAGGCCCAGGCTGGATCTCTAAGGAGCTGGTCCCTGCACCCTGAAGGGGAGTAAAAGCAGCTGACTGAGAAGGCTCGGGCTGTGCAGGCCCTAGAGCTGTGAAATGCCCGCTCTGGACCTTGGAGTGGGCCCAGCGTATCCTGCAGGCTGTCTGGCCTGGAGTTTGAGGAAGGTGAAGACACACCCAGTATGCTAGCTCAGTAGGCAGCATTGTGCAAACCCCTCCCACCGCATCTGAGAAAACCTTTGCCAGCTGATTTTGGCCTTTTGACCCCTTATTAGAAGGTCATCCCACAACAGCTTTTTTTGTTTTGCTAATTGCCATACCCAATACCTAGAGCAGTACCTAGTTAAAAGAAAAAAGAGACGGAGTACACTCAATAACTATTGCTGACTTAAATTTATTGAATATATAAAGAGTACAAAGGCCAATGTATGACTAAAAAAAAAGTTACACCAGGTTGAGGTATTCAGAGCCTAAAGGGAGGTGCCCAGCAGGAACGGTGGGTGGAGAAACTGGATCTGGGTGGGGATCTGGGTTAGAATTTGGTAAAACAGCAGCAGCCGGTAGGTAGCCCCTCGCAGGTACGATGTGAGGATGCTGCAGTCAAAGGAATTACAGCATCTGTGTATTTGTTAAGTACTTACTAGGATTCATATGCTTTTCTAAACTGAACAAGAGAGTTCCTTATTTCTCATCAACACAAGGTCCCATCAACTCCCCAGGAGCCTCCTTCTCCTACTGCCTCAACTTGCATTTGTGGAAAATGCCAAAAAACCTGACCAAGTGGGAAGTTTCTTCCTCTGAATGGAGCTAACTAGTGTTTGCCACAGCCCTTGGCCTCCTGTAACCAACGGCAGCGTCCTGCTCAAATCGGGCCCTGTACTATCTGTTCTCAACAGTGTGTTTCTGAGCAAGAGACAGTGATTCCAGGATTCTCCTGATCTTAGATTAGGACGCCAGTTAGACATTCTTCCTTTCATTTTCTATGTCAGTAGAGCGAATCACAGGATTCATCAGAGGCCTGGGGGAATGAGCGTCAACATAAACATCCCTAGGACACACCAAGTTTGTAGGTTATTCTTAGATGTGGAGTGGGAAGATTACAGCCAGGCTGTAAAAAGCAAACAGGCAGGCCGGGCGTGGTGGCTCACGCCTGTAACCCTAGCACTCTGGGAGGCTGAGGCCGGCGGATTGCTCGAGGTCAGGAGTTCGAAACCAGCCTGAGCAAGAGCGAGACCCAGTCTCCACTATAAATAGAAAGAAATTAATTGGCCAACTAATACATATAGAAAAAATTAGCCGGGCATGGTGGCGCATGCCTATAGTCCCAGGCATGGGACTGAGGCAGCAGGATTGCTTGAGCCCAAGAGTTGGAGGTTGCTGTGAGCTAGGCTGATGCCATGGCACTCACTCTAGCCTGGGCAACAAAGCGAGACTGTCTCAAATAAAAGCAAACAGGCAGTTGCAGAGAGCTAACCACCATCATCCCAGGCACTCCCACAGCTGTGGTGACTGCCTGGATGGTCACTCACGAAGGAAAAAAGTAGTGAGAGAAGAACTGGCGATAAAGGAGGGAATTTAGGTCTTTCTATAAAACAGCAGCTTCTAGAAAAACAGATGATGAGTATCCAGCTATCCAACCCACAAAGGACAAAGTCCCCCACCTTGGCAGTCTGACTGCTGTGATCGAGAATGATCGAGAATGCCTAGAGGTAAAGCAAGCCCTTTCTGGGTTAATGTAACCAGAAGGATATGGGACACCTGCCACTCACTGCAAAGCGCTTCACATAGCTGGCTGCATTCACCTGCTTAATAAAGCCAGAATATGAAACAAAGCCTCTTTACCCAGATTCTCAGAACTCTGTTGTAAAGAACAAGCCTTTAATTAGAGCCAGACAGTTAGCAGTGAGGCTCAGCTATACTGTAGCTTGGGGCTGCAAAGCAGAAAAGTTACAATGTATTCCTCTGGGCAAGCAAAATGCAGATGTTTAATAATAGATCTCTCTCCAGTGAAAGAACATTATGTAGCCTAAGAGAAATAATGAAAGTTTGGGTTAATTTTTGGTTTGTGTCTTTTAAAAACAGAATATTCAGACTTTTGTTTGTGAGCAATACAATAATAACTGAGATATAATTATTTAGAGACGAAGAAAACAAGGCTCAGAGAGGTTGAGTAAATTGCCCAAGATCACACAGTTACTAACAGCAGGGCTGGGATTCAAACCCAGCTAGTCTAGCTTTTAAATTTTGTTTTATTTATTATTCTTTTTAGTCTGTCTTTAAGAGCTTACTTTCTTAAACTCTGTGGAAAACTTGAGGGGGGATGTGATGTTTTGAAAGGAAGGGTTACAAGTCACTGTGTCCAGGAGCTGTGGAAGGAAACAGTCTGTGAAGTCAGTCTCCGCAGATGGTCTTCAGGCTCTTCAAGTCAAGATGTTTCTTCTTTAAGGATCTTTCCTTTAACGATATATGTACAGGGGTGTTAACTGCAGCATTGTTTTCAGAGTAAAAGGTTTGAAGCAACCTAGATTTCCATCAAAAATAGGCTAGAAAAGTAAATTATGATGCAAACACACAATGAAATAATAGCCAGGTATAAAAAAGAAACAGGAAGTTCTTTATGTACTGACATGGAACTACTGCCAACGTACAGCTGAAAAAAAGCAAGATATAGAATAGCATACAGTTTGCATTTGTGCAAAAGAAGTACATATTTTCTTGTATGGACAGAGAAGATCTCTAGAACGATAGTGAGGAACTCTAACACTAGTTGCCTCTGAGGAGGGAAGTGGGGGAGAAGGGTGAGAGGCACTTCACTCTATGACTTTCTGTGCCTTTGATTTCAAACCATGTGAACACACTATTACCAATTCAGAAAATGTGCATCTGTACTCTTTTAAAAGTGAATTACAATATGTGAACTTAAAGACAGAATATATAAAAATTTATGTATACCCATGCAACCATATAAATAAAACACATGTAAGAGGAAACAGAAATTTATTACATCAAGGTAACAATCTTGTCCTTCTCTATTTTCCTAGAATTTCTATGATGTGGTTATAATAAATATTCTTAAAGTATTTTTTGGATACCTAACTTACTTCCTCCCTGACTCTACCAGCATTTCAATCAGCAATCATGGGGAGTAGGACAGAAATGAAGACGAGGGACTTTAGAATCCCAATATACACAGTATACTCAACAAAGAAAAAAAAATCCACTACTCCTAAAAAGTTGGTAAGTCAATAGTTTCCAACACTTTATGAAAATACTTGGGGTATAAAGAACTATTAATATATAAAAGAATGGTTCTCCAGGTAGGCAGTAAAAAGGGAGAGTGAAGCAAATCATTGAAGGATATAATGCAGTTTCACAATCCTACCAGCGGGCTCCTAGGTTCAAATGACCATTCTTCAGCTTCCTGTATTTTTCTTCATTCCCATCACAGGTAACCAACATTACAGGCTTCCCTAAAATCCTCTATCACCCAAACATCAAAACTGGTTTTCTTTCTGATTAAAAAGGGGAAGTGGGCAAAAGAAAGACAACTTAAAAAAAAAAAAAGCACATCAAGTTCTCATAAAATCATTGCTCGTATGTTCATGACATCAGGTAAAATAGATTTGGAAATATCTTTAGAACACTAGCTGAAGAACAGGAATTCCCCTCGCCCCAAATCAAGGTAAGCAGTGACCCGCCTCTGTGATAAGGACCCTGACAAGGGGTTCACAGAGCCCATCAGGTGTGGCTGCGAGCGTGGGCTTAGCTTCTCAGGCTGACATTCACTTGAAGTCTATCATCTGATACAGTCACTTTCTTAGCTGTAATCTATGAGCTGCCGTGTTTACTTGTGAGACCGTCTGTGAGCTGGAAGGGAAGAAGGTAAATACACCAAAGCCCAGCTGAGCAACTGACAGGTTTTACATTTTATTTCCAGGAAATGACATACTGTTTTCACAAAGAAGAGGTAAGCCGTCCTCTCAAAATAGAGGCCACCGTCAGGGGCAGCCATGGGGTACACCCAACCTGTCCAAAACTGTCAACAAAGGTGCTTCTGAGGTATCAAAATAACAACAACAACTTTAAAAAACAAAACAGAACTCAAATAACCCATTCAACACGTAGTGAGGCAGAGTCTACGAAATACCCTGAAGTGCTTGGCGCAGCAAGCCCCAGTGGTTCTCCAGGGATGGTAGGAGGGCTGGCTGACGTGGACGCTGCCTGAGGGAGGGCTTCCCAACTCTGCAGTCTCTGCCCCACATGGCTCCTCAGGTGACCTCCAGAGTGGCCGCATCACGTCCAGAGAATCCTCCAGACCGTGTTAAGCTCCCACTGCCTGGCAGACTTTCAAATGCCCTTCAAGCACATTCTTCAGGACAGTCTCTTTGCTTTGGAGAGAAAGAAAAGAAAAATAAAGGAGCCGCCTACATTTCCCTTCCTTGGCCATCCTTGCCCTCAGCCACCTTCCCACACAGCAGCCAGTGAATGGAGAAATGTAGTCAGATCACGTCACTCTGCTCAAAGCCCACTCCCGATTCCTCTCAGACTAAGAGTTAAAGTCAAGGCCCTTTCAAGCCTACAAGGCCCTACGCAAACTGCCCCTTGCCCAGCCTTCCTCTCCGCATCTCCTGCTAACAAGAATTCTCCCTGGATGAGCTCAACTTGCCAGACACCATTACTGCGGCCACTCCCCCAGACATTCCCTTGCAAGGCTCTGTCTTTCAGCAAATGGGAATGGGCAATACCAGGGAACGCCTGCCCAGTGGGCAGATGGATACTCTTCAGAGCCTGGGCTCTGCCAGTTTCTCCTGTCCTATGTCTGGACCACCCATCTCTTAGCCGACAGGAAGCTGCTAAGTTACTGGCCATATGGTCTGTCTGACCTGGGCTGATCTTACAAGAGACCCTCAACCTCTGGAGCGTCCTGTGTCACAGATTCAAAACAGCTGTGGTTCACAAACCTTTCTCCCCACCTCAGCACACCTGAAGGCCATGGCACACTCACTAGTAGCCTCTCTAGTCACTATTATAACAGCACGGGAGCTGGGGAATGTAGTTTTTAAAAGCCCCTGGGCTAAAAATCACTGTTTTAAAAGACCAATGAGATTTTTACTTCTAGATCACTTATTTTTTCCTTTTCTGAGCACAACCCAGAGAAACTGCTAGGAAAAGCAAAAAGTGAGGGTGTTAACACTCTTGTCAACCAACTAACAACTAATGAGAACAGAAGAAACGGGAAGGGAGCAGCTGACAGAAGACTGCTCCCTCACCTCACCAGCTCCAGAGGGAGATTTCAGAAAATCTCTTCCCTTCAGAAAAATCTCTTGTCAACATCGCAGAGAGCCACAATTACTCGTGTGACAAGAATTTCTGACTGTTTCTTATCTGCCCCAGCTCCAGAGCATCCTTTCCCCACCTCAGGACCCAGAATCCTAACATCCTCCCCGCCCTCCTCTCCTCTGGCCTCACAGTTTGCAAGAGATCAATGGCTAATTGGTCAGAGGCATCACTCTTCCCACTGGGATATGGAATGTCAGGACAACAATCAGCCAAGGAGGCCTTAAAAATGAGGCTGCTCTAAGTGAAATTGGAGCACAGGCACACCTGCACAGGCAGCCCCCTGCTGCCACAAGCAGGCATGTCTCCCCCTCTGAATTCGTGGTAAGAACAATCCCTGCCCAGGGCCCTGCCACAGTGTTAAGACTTTGACAATCACAGGTGTGCCAATCCTAGTTCCCAGATCCTAAATTTGGTCCTTTTAAAAAATTTTCATGCACAGGGATGAAACCAGCTTTCAACTGGCCCTGGAATATGCAAGGAAGGTTTGCATTTAAACTGAATTTTCTCTCAACTCACACTGCAGCCCAATGAAGCTGCCCTGCCGATGGCTCTGGCACATCTTTCCTTAAATCGGGTCTCAGAACCTTTGTCTGTCTCTAGCTGCACTCGCGCGATAACTACAGAAACTAAAATGAGTGCCAGAATGCTCTCAGTCGATGCACGCAACAGAGAGGCTGATTTGGTTTACTGCATAGCCCCCTGGTGTTAGCGAAAAGGCGGAGAGGCCCTCTTTAGCCTCTGGAGAGGAAAAGGAGGAGGTGCTGGTATTATTTGCTCTGCAGAAGTAACTTTGTGTAAGGGAGTCAAAGGTGAATTTAGGACATGGGACTCCCTTTCCCTTCCCAGTGCTTCACGAAGTCACCTACTGTGCTGGACTGCAGGGAAGGACCCAGGCAGCGGGCCGTGGGGAGAAAGCTCATGCATCCCCACTCCCACAGACTCGGCACACTTCAGCTCAAGGGCTATAACCTAATCTTGGTCCAATTTGGGTTCCCAGGTTCCTCTCAGAATGGAAAGTAAGAAAAAAAAATTCACAAGGCCTCAGTAGGTAATTTCTAAGCTTCGGCTGTCCTCATGCAAGTCTGGCACCATGAGAACATCATGCCTCGTGTGAAGCACACTGGGGAAGGTGGGCAGTCACTGCTTCTCATGCCTCTGTGTTTTGCTTGTGCTGTTTCCTCTGCTTGGAAAGCTCACCCCCTAGGGAATCTTTAAGGCTCAGTTCAAATGTCACTTCCTCTGTGAAGCTTTCTCCCATGCCTTTACTTGCCCAAGCCAAATTAAGTGTCCCCTCCTCTGAGTTTCATAACTTCGGCCTGTTGTGGAACTCATCACACTATCTATGGGCCTGTCCTCACCAGACTGAGTGCTGAGATAATGCGTTATTCACCTCTATCCCAATGCCTAGTGTGGTATTCCTATAAATGCTTATTGAGTGATACGAGGTAAAAATGAGGAACAATGGAATTCTGCCAGAAATAAGTAGCTATCGGAGGTAAAAAAAATCTGTGGGAGTTCAAAATTGAGCACAAAATTCAGTAGCAGACATGTGTCAGAAAAGTGGAAAACACTTTGGTTCCAAAGAACCCACTGAAGGTTGCCCCACCCTCCCACAGGTCAGAATGTCTTCCTTGAGCATAACAGGCTCAGACACACTTCCTGCTCAGCACCTGCACTACCTGCCTCTCTGATAAGCCTGCTGCCTCCAATCTGGCTGACCAACCAAGAGCCAGTTTCATACCACAGCTGCTTGCGAGTCACAGTACCACATTCCTGACCCGAAATGGATGACAGCTGTTGAAGGGCTAAGGAAAAGGAGTAAGTGAACAGAAGATCCTATTCTAAGTAGTATGGCCTTTTGACCCTTCCAGCTACTCTGGACTTAGAGAAAGGTACAACCAAAGAACACACACAAATGTGGTTTCAAATGGCCAGGTGGGGAAAGCACCTGTAAGGGCAGTGAGCTTCTGGTTCTTCTTCTCTGATGGGCCTAAAATGGGCAGCCAATTGACATCACAGCACTTGGCTCTGAAGCTTTCCCAGAAGGCAGAGCCTAACTGGACTACTGAAGGGGCTGAACATGATCACACCTAACTTGTTGATCTGTTTTCTTATCCCTGCCCGATAACCAATCCTTTCTACCCCTTAACTCCTTGTGCTTTGCCCAGAGACATATTCATTTCCACAGAGACAGTTAAGTCTCAAGCAGAGTGGCTCTCTACAGTTCCCAACACAAGAGGCCTCAAGTGTCACTTGGCTAAATGAACAGGTATTCACTATGGAAGGCGAGTTCATTAGGGAAACTCACCCATCTCTTTTCCAGTCTCTCTCTCCAACTAGAGACTTGTTAGGAAATACATGTAGGATTATATTTATATCTTTGGCATAACATTATGCCCAAATTGTGTAACTGTGACTCATAGGTAGAACCTGTATATGTGTTTTCTTTAGGCATTCTCCAAGTTGTTAATCTTTGACTTGTACACATCCTACTTATAATCATCATATACCCAACTGAATGTTTTTGCAACACCTAGATGGCAACTAAACTGTCTTGAGCAACAGTACCATCTAGTGATCAGTACAGCAAAACGTCTGACTGTGTGTTTTTTAATCACATCTTTGACCCCACACAACTAAGACACACACACTTAACCCCACTTTCCTGCTGTGCAAATAACAGAGGTTAATTCTACCTAAACTCTCTCACACATTCACTATCTTTAACTCCTTTTACTCTTTCCCATTTCTTCCACCTCTTCCTTAGTTCAAGAACCGTTACTCTGACTCTCTCTTCCCGACCAAAAAAAAATTTTTTTACTGAAATCTGGAAGTAAATAAATTCTTTCTTGAGGAGTAGGGATTCTTACACTCACTCACCTTTTCTTTCCCTAATGAGGGCAATTCGTCGTTCTTTCACTTCTGAGCTCAGATTATCTACCATCTTATTAATGCAATTGTCCAGAACCAGGGAGCGGGTTTTGGACTTAACGTCCTTCCGACAAATGGGGCATTCTATCTTCCGCTTCATCCATTCATTGATACAGTAGGAACAGAAACTGTGGGCACAGTTCAAGGTGACAGCCTACAATGGAAATGTGAACAACACATCAGAACCATCACCCTTACTTCCTTGGGGTAGTTATGATCTCAAAGGTAGGACAGGAGCTCATTTTCAAGGCCAAATGAAAAGATAACCACAATCCCATCTGGAGGGTTTACAGAGTGTTAGAATCATTCTTGGAGTTGGATTTTTTTTTTTTTTTTGAGACAGGGTCTCACTCTGCCTCCCTAGCTAGAGTGCAGTGGCACAATCATAGCTCACTGCAGCCTCAAACTCTTGGGCTCAATCCTCCCACCTTGGCTTTCCAAAGTGCTAGCATTACAGTCATGAGCCACACTGCATCCAGTGGAGTTGGAGAATTTTAAACTTCACGTTAAGACAACTCATTTCCTCCTTTCTCAAAGTTAAGGTCACAGACTCAGGCTCTAGGTAGGCTGATTTATCTGTCTTGATTCACCAACTCAGGCCACACTGCCAACACGGATTAGCCACCCTGCAAACAAATGTCACTGACACAAGTAGGACTAGTAAGTGTGTAAATGTTGTATATCTACATTACTAATTCTCTTATGAAAAACATATTTATGTCCTGCTAATGGTGAATTAGAACTTCAATTTTAATATATGAAGTGGAGTACATACTGAATAGTCAGTATACAGAATGATAGGAAGTATCATCCCTAAAGAAACTAAAAAAGTAAAATAATATAAAAGGCAATTAAAAAGGCTGGCAAGCCGGGCGCAGTGGCTCACGCCTGTAACTCTAGCACTCTGGGAGGCTAAGGCGGGTGGATTGCTTGAGGTCAGGAGTTCGAAACCAGCCTGAGCAAGAGCGAGACACCGTCTCTATTAACAAATAGAAAGAAATTAATTGGCCAACTAATATATATAGAAAAAATTAGCCGGGCATGGTGGCGCATGCCTGTAGTCCTAGCTACTCGGGAGGCTGAGGCAGCAGGATTGCTTGAGCCCAGGAGTTTGAGGTTGCCGTGAGCTGATGCCACGGCACTCACTCTAGCCTGGGCAACAAAGCAAGACTCTGTCTCCAAAAAAAAAAGGCTGGCAAAAAGGAACTAAAAAATGTCAAAAATGTAATGGGTTCATTGACAGTGCCTGAACCTCTAAGCAGATTGCCTATGAGGAAAGAAAACACAAGGAGCCTGTACTGAGATACTCTTCTGAGTAAAACCCCTTGTCAGATTTCTGCCAGGGTCTTTTCACTCCTAAGAATATAAACCATTTATTTGTTATTCTCATTTATGTATATCTCCTACGAGACAACTTTTTCTGAGGCTCAAAAGTCCTCATTCCTGCTTTTAGGATAGCAGTGGAAAATAACACAGATATTATGTATTTTTTAAATGCCAGGATAAGCACAGAAAGCTAAGAAATTAGGAGACATTGTGTTTACTACGTAAGATAAACTCTAATAAAAGGACTAACAACCTGTCTGATTAAAATGAAACATCTTGCTAAGACTAAGACTGACTTTAAGAGGTTACCAGTAGAGTAAGTCAGACACTATTCTATAAACAAAACACAGGTCAAGTTGTTTATTTCTTACATGTCTGTGCAGATGCTCTGGGATGGCTAACTTGTCACCCATTCCAACCCCCTTTCCTTGTCTTTCTCTACTGGAGTCCATAAGCTCTGTCAAAACAACACTGAGTGTTCTTCAAAGTAGGGAATCATATGACTAGAAACTAGGGGGAAATTATGATCTGAAGTCTAAATGAACCCAGAGAAAAAGAAACAAGTCTGCCCAGGAGAGATTTTTCAGGAGACTGATAGACCCAAACTCCCTAAAGACTGCCTGAGAAAAGCAAGCAGAGTGTATAAGCGTTTTCCTTGTTAAAGGAGTGTGTAAAGCACAGTCATTTAACAATCTGAGTTTAACACTTGTGGTTCTAAGATGAACTGGTCACAAATGGCAGAATATTTAAAAAGTAAAAGAGCTGGTACAAAAACATACAATACAGGATAACAAATGGCAGCCTAGGGGAGAGATGTTTCATTTTCATAAGAAACCTCAGAGTCCCTGAAATACATTCATTTGGTCCCTGTATTCCCAAAGTGACCACCATCATTGACATTTACCACCCTGTTTAAGAGGCTGCACTATAAACCTACTGTCAGCATTGTGCCCATTCGGAGTAAAGAAAAAATAGCTTTACTGAGCAGTTTTATTTTGAGACTTCAAAAATCTAATGCCATGTGACCATGTTCCCCCCCAACAACAAAGACATAAAAACTTTATTGCAGCTAAAAATGTTAATCATACCAAATAAATAATTAAGGACAGATGAAATACAGAAAAGGATGGTGAAGGGAAAGAAGACTAAAGAACAAATGAGAAGTGGCCATCTCTAGAGGTCACTTTGAAATCAAATAGCTGTAATAAGGTCTTGGAAGAAAAGTCTCTTCAGAATGTTTCTCTGTAGCAAAGCAGCCTGTATAGCCCAGACTCCATTCAGGGTTGGGAGAATACAACAGGGTGAGCAACTGTTGATAATTACCTCAATGAAGTATTCTGAGCAAATAATACACTGGAGCTCATTCTCTAGCACATCATTCATGTGGCTGAGAACTTCTTCCTTCTGTGCTTGCACCTTCTCCTTCTCTTCCTGCAGAGACACACAACCCCCCCCTGTTATTCTGACAGAACCAACAAGAATGCAGAACAGGACAAGGAGCAGGGTTAATTGTCTGGAATAGGATTCAGGAATCTTAATTAATAATTCATTCTGGTGCAGCAACATAAGAATAAAACTTTCCCTAAGGATTACTGTTTCTCAAGAATTGCTTTCTAGGCCAGGCGCGGTGGCTCATGCCTGTAATCCTAGCACTCCGGGAGGCTGTGGCGGGCGGATCGATCAAGGTCAGGAGTTCAAAACCAGCCTGAGCAAGAGCGAGACACCGTCTCTACTAAAAATAGAAAGAAATTAATTGGCCAACTAAAAATATATAGAAAAAACTAGCCAGGCATGGTGGCACATGCCTGTAGTCCCAGCTACTTGGGAGGCTGAGGCAGCAGGATTGCTTGAGCCCAGGAGTTTGAGGTTGCTGTGAGCTAGGCTGATGCCACAGCACTCGCTCTAGCCTAGGCGACAAAGTGAGACTCTGTCTCAAAAAAAAAAAAAAAAGAATTGCTTTCTAATACAGAGTGCTAACTTTCTTTCTTCCCTCTCCCCACTTGCTATGGTTTGTGTTCCCCCCAAATTTCTTATGTTGAAACTTAATCCCCAAGGTGACTGTATTGAGAGGCTGGGGCTGGCCATTGGGAAGTAACTAGGTCATGAGGGCTCTGTGCTCATAAATAGGGTTAGTGGCCTTATAAAAGGCACCTGAAAGAGCTTGTTTGCCCCTTCTACCACATGAGGACACAGTAAGAAAACTCCTTCTATGAAGAAGATAGCTTTCACCAGATGCCTCATCTGCCAGCACTTTGTTCTTGTATTTCCCAGCCTCCAGAAGCATGAGAAATAAATTTCTGTTGTTTATAAGCTACCCAGTTTATGGCATTTTCTTATAGCAGCCTAAATGGACTAAAACACTACTTTTTCAGTATTTGCATTATAGGTTCTGTCTCATTCCCCCAAATTAACCAAATGAGAAAAAATAAAGGTGGCATACTACTCTCACCAACCACCCAAGGCCAAGTAGGACATTAAGCATTCTATAGCAAGCTGCTATATCACTCAGAGGTGATATAAAATCATCCCAAACAATTAAAAACTCACTGGACAATAAAAGATAAGAGGAACAGTCCACAGAAGCAGGAAGCCTGAATTAGTTCTAAGGTCCCTGTGTTCTTTGTTGCTGCCTCATCTATAACATAAAGATATACCTCTGGAGGCAGGAGGCTGGAGAGATGAGCTCTTGAAGTACCTTTAGGCTCCCTGCCCTATAATACTTGTCACTTCCCACTCCTTCAGAGGTTGAGGTTGAGGTCAAGGTCTGCAGTACAATTTCCCTGTGCCCTCCCCAAGAGGTCAGACTGCTTGCAAACACACTTTTTAGGGAGGGTCCTAGGTATGCTCTCTTGAAGCAGACGTTTATTTAAGTTAGTACCTTTTCCCCCAAAGTATCAAGAGCCTCTGATGGGGAGAGGAAAAGCCATTTGGGGTATATTTGAGTGGTTGGCTCATTTTTCATCTTTTCTTTTCTTTCCCAATCAAAACAAAGATTGTCAGATTGCTTAGAGTAGTGAAGAGAGTCTGGATCCATTTCTAACTAGAGTCGAATTCCCTGAAACCTTATGAATCACTGGGTTTAACAAGACATAGTTTCTTGAATACCGGGGGAGAAGGTACTATGTGATTTCAACAGAGGTTAAGTATATCAAACCAACTAAGAAGAAAGTCTTGTCCCTTCCTTTCTGTACTCAGCTGTGTAGAATAGAGCAGGATGAGAGACAAAGTCAGACCCAAGTTGCAAAGTGGTAGCCTGTACACTGGATCTACCCTGCAGAATTATTTAGTTTCACCTTAGTGGTATTAAAAAATATACAAAAACCGAACTTGTTGTCAATATCTGAAAACTAGAATATTTCACATGAACATCTGGGTTTCCATCTGCTATGGAAAAATAAAGAAGATCTGGCCGGGCGTGGTGGCTCACGCCTGTAATCCTAGCACTTTGGGAGGCCGAGGCGGGCGGATTGCTCAAGGTCAGGAGTTCGAAACCAGCCTGAGCGAGAGCGAGACCCTGTCTCTACCAAAAATAGAAATAAATTAATTGACCAACTAAAAATATATATATATACAAAAAATTAGCTGGGCATGGTGGCGCATGCCTGTAGTCCCAGCTACTCGAGAGGCCGAGGCAGTAGGATCGCTGAGCCCCGGAGATTGAGGTTGCTGTGAGCCAGGCTGACGTCACGGCACTCACTCTAGCCTGGGCAACAAAGTGAGACTCTGTCTCAAAAAAAAAAAAAAAAAGAAAGAAGATCTGACAATACTTAGCTTATATTTCTGGATGGCAACAACTGGCTGAGCAGAGAACAGCTGTGTCCTGGGGTAGGGGGTGAGTATCCCCATCAAGTGAGCCATAGTCCTCACGGCTTTCTGCTACATTCTCACACCCAGGCCACTTCATTCCTTTTTTTTTTTTTTTTTTTGAGAAAGAGTCTTGCTCTGTCACTACAAGTGCAGCGGCATCATCGTAGCTCACTGCAACCTCAAACTCCTGGGCTCAAGCAATCCTCCCACCTCAGCCTTCCAAGTAGCTAGGACTACAGGTGGGTGCAATGATGCCTGGCTAATTTTTCTATTTTTAATAGAGATGGGGGTCTCAATCTTGCTCAGGCTGGTCCCAAACTCCTACGCTCAAGCAATCCTCCTGCCTCAGACTCCCAGAGTGCTGGGATTACAGGTATGAGATACTGCGCTCAGCCTTCACTCACTTTTATTACCTGTCTGGCCCTGGTGGGCATTTAAGTTTATAACCTCTAATTTAAGAGTTCTACTGACTTGACATAGGAAGGAATTACATGAACACATCAGGAGGAATTATTTTTTTATTTTGACTGTAACACTCCTTAGTCTGTACCAGTGACATACCCTAAAGAAGCATCCACCATAGACAAAGGACTAGAATGCAGGGTGCAAGTGCCTTATTCCCAGTATTTCATTTCTGAACAAAGGAAAGAAAAGATATTGTCTTACAGGCTGAATCTTTTATAGGCTTGAATAATTTTATAGATTATTTCTCCTGAGGCAAGGAGCAGCCATAATTTTTCTCTTCATTCACCATGGCAACTCTTGCACTGTTGAAAATGCTCAGTTGCATGTACTAACCAAATTCTAAACCTCCATCTTCTTTCCAGTACCTTGGTCTGCTCCAATTCTTTGTTCTTGGCTTGAATGATTGCTTCAAAGTCCTTCTTGCTACGATTTAGCTCTTCCATTAGAGCCCGGTGCTGCAGAAACATAGCAGATATACACTCAGGATGAACTACTCAGCATCCTTCCTTTTATCCACCTACATGCCTGCTCCCTCGCTCTAGTAAGTGATTTTGGTTCAAAGATCAATGAATTGGTAATTTCAAAATAATGCCTTCATTCCACTAGGAAATCCTACTGACCAGCTGCTTTTTTTAGGAATGGTGGCAGATTGGGTATGAGGCCACCAAATTCATTAGTCCACCTGAAACTAAGCCAACATCAATGGCCATCCAAAACAAATGAAGAACTTTCACTGCCTTCCAGAAAGTCTGATTCTGTAAGTTTGTCTTGATGTCCAGAAATGTGCATTTTTTTTAAAATACCACCCAAGTAATTCTGGGAACCACTGCTTAAGAACTAGTAAGTATGAGCTACGCGGCACTGGGAGTAGCTTTTAAGAAATAATCAGGCCGGGCGCTGTGGCTCACGCCTGTAATCCTAGCTCTTGGGAGGCCGAGGCGGGCGGATTGCTCAAGGTCAGGAGTTCAAAACCAGCCTGAGCAAGAGCGAGACCCCGTCTCTACTATAAATAGAAAGAAATTAATTGGCCAACTGATATATATATAAAAAATTAGCCAGGCATAGTGGCGCATGCCTGTAGTCCCAGCTACTCGGGAGGCTGAGGCAGAAGGATCACTGCAGCCCAGGAGTTTGAGGTTGCTGTGAGCTAGGCTGACGCCACGGCACTCACTCTAGCCTGGACAACAAAGCGAAAAAAAAAAAAAAAAAAAAAAAAAAAAAGAAATAATCAAGGGGAAATGGGATTCAGAGAACCTAGACAGTCATTTTCATTGACATGAAAAAGATCTTTAACCGATTTATTCTACAAATCACATGCTACATGTTTATAAGGCAATGCTGCCTGAACCCTCCCAGTATCTTCTGGAAGATGGCATGCCCAAGAGCTAATAGCTCATTCAATGTGATAAACTGCCTACACCAAATGTCAAGAGGTTCCACATCTATGAAACATAATTTATGAGTTCCCTCATGCTTAAGTACAGTTTATAACTTAGAATTTCACCTCAAATCCTTTTTAAAAGAAGGCAGAATAAAGGTAAGTATTTTTGAAAATATATTACTCAAGAAACAAATTTTAAAATATGTGGTCTCCCTGAAAAAAAGTAGTTACATCAGAAGGCCTGGGTCTTCATCTTGACCACTAATTAGATGTATGGGCTTTAACTTTCTCATCTATAAATAGGAAAACAGATGTTCCCTCCTACCTCAATGCATATACAAAAACAGGTATGAAAAGCATTGAGAAAGTTTCTTAAGCTCTATTAAAATGCAAGTTTTTGTAACAGCTTGGTAAAGAACAGCTTGGAGGGACTAGCATGGTGGAACAAAAACTAACCACTGCTTCATATGAGAGTGGCACATCCCCCAGGCATGACGGTATAGAACCATGACCTAGAAGTATCACATTTTAGGCCAGTAAATGTATGAGAGTATTCCTTGATGATAGTGATTCTTCCTTCCTGTCTGTATCAGAAGAGATTAAGGCGTTGTGGATGCAAGGTACTCAATGATTCCTGAGGGATTTCCAAGTAGAACTACCATATTCTTTTTCAGTCAATTTCAAAACAATATCTGAATATTCATTTAATAATGCTTCAAATGGGAAACATGCTTACTCTCCCACCCTAGAAAATAAACAAGCTCAAAAAATAAAATTCCAAAAAGAATTAACTAATTTTCACCTAGTTCTTTCCAAAGCTGTTTGTGCAAACTGTAAGAAAATCAAGGCAGGCACCCTGTTACACTTACAAGTAACTACATGACTGTTAGCACTGTAAGACTTGGAAGTAGGTATGCAATAAAAAAATGTAAGGATAAATTCCTCTGAACAAATTCTTATGCAATTTGCTCACTTTTCTCAATGAAATCTGAACCATCCCTCCAACCACCTAACTAAACGTGCAAACTACTCATCTTAATATATAAAGAAAACAAAGGTTTTAAAGATGCAAAAGACACATAAAAAATAATCAAATGAGTGCTCAAGTTAAATGAAATAAAATTACATGCAATGTTTTAGGAGAATTTTATTCCCGTTAAGTTTTACCTTTTTGTTAAGTAGATTTGTCTTGCTCTTGCTTGACTGTTAAACTGCACATTCTCAAACTGACCTAAAATGCTTAACTGGAACATTCTCAAATGGCTTTTAGATAGCTACAGCTCAGGGACAGTGAGGTAATGGAGGCCCTCACATGCTCTGGTGGCCAAGTCATAGCTCACATTTCCCCTCTGCTACCCTCACCTTTCTGGAAGTGAAGCCACTTCCCCAGAGAGTCTCCTAATTGCTAAGGCTCCATTCCATCTTTACCGGAGCAACTTCTGCTCAGATGAAGATGTAAGTTTTCATGCTGAGGTTTGGCATGTCTGTGAGGATCCAAATCTCCAACCTGATGGTCTGAGCAGCTGCCACCTGCTCTATTTAGTCTGGAGATGCCACAGAGGTATGGGCTAAGCAGCAGAGGCAGCCAGTGGCCACATGATGCCTGGCTGCCCCTCACTCCATGGCCCACTATAATCTCAGTACAGTGGCAAGAGATAAGTTACCTCCTGCAGAGCCTGGGAGAGCTGTTGCTTCAGGTCCTCTTCTCCTTCCTCTTTCTCCAAGTCCTGCAAAGCCAAAACAAAATGGAAGGTTTCCCTGCAGGGATGGGAAAAAAGGAACAAAATCCAGCAACAAGCAGAGTAGACCAGCTAGTGGGAGCATCTGGAAACAACAGGGTGCAGGGAGCAGATGGAAAATCTCCTGTTTTACTTCAAGCTGTTGGCAGTAAAGGATTTGAGCAGAGTTAACTGCTCAAATACCACACACCTCAGGGCTGTCAGCTTCAAGTCACCACTCTGGTTATTCTGGAAAAACTGTGGGCTAACAGTTCAAACCTCCTTCCTTGGCTAATGCTATGATTCCCAAAAGGATATAACCTGAGAACTTCCGAGCCATCAAATGTCTAAACTCAGACAGAATCTGCCATGCTGTCATTCATAAGACCTACCATGTTTCCTCCCTCTATTCTGGCCAACCTGTCTCTCATTCTGAGTTTCATCATGACTTTTAGCCTAGACACTTTCCCCTCTCTTCTTGCATGATCTTATGCTATATTTCCTCCATCAGCTTCCTCTAATGTAGACACCTTCCAGACCATCATTAACCTATGTCCAGTACCTTCCACAAGAACCTCTGGGCCTTTCCCCCTTAAGAATTACTTACCCATTTAATATGCCAACTTGAAAACTGTTCTCCAGTTTACTATATTGACTAAAAATTATTCTGTTTATATTATGTGCATAATACACCTTGTCTCCTCAACAAGATAAAGTCCTTAATGGTAAAAACCATTTATTAAGCATCTTTATAACCATCAGAACCCTGGCAATGTGGGTGTTCAAAAAAAAAAAAACTACAAACCTGGCCGGGCTGTGTCTCATGCGTGTAATCCTAGCACTCTAGGAGGCCGAGGTGGGCAGATCGCTCAAGGTCAGGAGTTTGAAACCAGCCTGAGCAACAGCGAGACCCCGTCTCTACTATAAATAGAAAGAAATTAATTGGCCAACTAAAAAAATTAGCCGGGCATGGTGGCACATGCCTGTATTCCCAGCTACTCAGGAGGCTGAGGCAGAAGGATTGCTTGAGCCCAGGAGTTTGAGGTTGCTGTGAGCCAGGCTGACGCCACAGCACTCTAACCCGGGCAACAGCGCGAGACTCTGTCTCAAAACAAACAAACAAAAAACCTGTGTGAAGCAGCAAGGGTTGAACAAGTTTCTGAACAAGTAGAGGGGTGGGATAAATCCCTACGGCTTGATGGGCAGAGGAAAATGTGGCTAATAAACAAGAGACTAGGTATGTTTCACAAGTAATTTATACATGACCTACTCATACCTAGAGAAATTCTCTAAACTAATTCTTTTCATCTTTAACATTTTGGTACCATAAAAAGATTCTGAAGCTACATCTTGAAGCAATGCCCAGAGCAGCCACAAATATGAATCAACAGTAACTCTTGTTCCTGAACATATTAGCCTTTAAAGAGAGTTCTACTCTGGTGATGGTGTGATACCCTAAATATATATAGAAAAACCAGCCTCTATTAATTTCAAGAACTACTCTAGGCTGGCTAGGAGAAGCAAAACGGTACACACAAGCAACCAGCATATACCCTTGAAAGATCTATTTAATCCATGGCCTTTGCTAATACTACCAGTTCAAGGGGATAGCAGAGATCAGAATGAAATTTATAAATTGTTCAGAAATAAGCCAACACCACTCCTGGTTATCCCTTACCCTGAGCAACTCAAACAAAAGATAAAAGCTTATTCACTTCAGTTGTGATTGGCCCTTCTGAGGTCTAAGTCAACAATGGGGAATTCTTGACATTCAATATTACCCAAGCAACTGGGTGGGAATAAAACTTGTGGCTCCTGCCAGATGAGAAATGACATTTTGAGCAGGGACAGAATCAGCTCTAGCCTAAAGCTTTATGCAAGAGCTTGTCTTTTAAGTAAATGACTTAGGGATGGGAACACATTTGGTCTTACCTTTACGCAGCTAAGACAGTCATTATTTTACCTTCCTACTGGAAGGTGGCTTATCACTCAACCCAACAATGCATTCATGGCATACCTGTCCCCTCAAATGCTAGCTGTTCAGGACAGAAATACATATTCTGCCTTTCTAGCCTCCCACCTGCTAGGTTAGCTACAGCATTAACTAACCCTCACAGCTAAATGTCATGTGTAACAAGGGCAGAGTAACCAGCTGACCTGTATCTGCCTAGGACTAAGGGATATGGCCCAATGGCATCTAACTTTCACCCAACTTCTCCCTGAGTTTACCTTGGTTCTGAGATGACTCAGCTTTGTTTCCTGAAATAAGTTATTTCCTAGTTGGCTCTGCTGTCACCTTAACCTATCTTGGCACCCCAGCTCTGGATCCTGATCTCATCATCAGCATGCTAAAGCCTTAACCCTTTACTCAACTCCCTTCTTTTATCTCAAAGTTTTCTGTTCCCATTCCATTTCCTGTCCCTGGTGCTCAGCATTTGGTACCTGGCCCAGAAACTAGGAGCTCTGACCAGAGGCTCACAAACCGCCTGCCCACCCCTGAGGGGCACTGTCTTTCCCTCCTGTGTGGTACCTGGAGATGCTGTTCCTCTTCCTGGAAAGTCTTCTCTAGTTGCTCCACTCTTGCCTGCTGCTGAGCCTGCTCTGCACACAGCTGGGACTGTAAGTCCTGCAGTTCCTGCTCCATTCTCACAATTTCTTTTGAGTTCTCCTTTTGGGTCTGCTTTTTCACATTCAGAACAGCTACTTGTTTTTCTTGCATCTGTGTTTTCAGCTTCAGCATCCTGGACATGGTCACCTTAAAGATCTCTAAGCTGCTCTGAGAAGCTGAAGAGTTTGAGGCTTTCTGCTTCTTGTGATGAAGCTCTGTGACTTTTTGGGGGCCAGACTCTGTGGTCTTTTCATTTGGCTCAAGAGAAGTCAACTTAGGATCCAAATATTCAGAGGGTTGATTGGCCACCTCACCTCTCCCATTAGACTTCACTAGCTGACCAGGTTTATAAAATACTTCACTTATTTTAGATTTCAGATTTGAGGGTCCTTCAGCTCCAGAACCATCTAATTCATCCAAACTAAATTTCCTCTTAGTTCTCAAACCCTTATTTTTTTCCATCATCTGATCACCGTTTGGGGAAAGACAGGGATATATCCTCTCCCAGTCTTCTTCAGTAACTTCATATTCATACTCTGCATTCTGTTTATTTTCCAGAGGCACTCCAAGCTGGATGTGGTCTCCCTTATGGATGGAATAGACCTTTAAAGGTTCCAGACGCTCTCTGTTCAGCCAAACACCATTTAGACTCTGGGGAAAGTGAAAGACAGACAAAATAAGCTTCATGATTTTTCTCCTCTTAACAGAACTTCTCTCCTGCTGCTACAAAACCTTCTGCCTTTTCAGAAGGAAAACCCTTGAAAACAAATAGAAAAGAAACATTCATAGACCACTATCCTTAGAAACAGCATTCTTCAAACAGTGCTTTGACTTTTACCTATATTTCACATTCATGCCTCTATAGGGCACTGCCTATATAACAGGCAGGAATTATCTTATTACTGGTGGATGATTTACTCAAGCACATACAACAGCACAAAAGGAAATGGAAACTGGATTGCTCCTATTAACCTAACCTGGAGGCAATGGCCCCAAACTGGAAAAAAATGCTATTAGTGAAGGAAACAGTATCTAATGCTGAGGGCCATGAACAGGCTTGGCCAGGACAGTTACTCAAGTACTGTCTCTGGATGCAGTCCCTCAACACATTGGTGAACTAGTAAAATGCCTCCCAGTAAACATAAATCAAAAAAAAGAGTACCCGACCTTGTACTGGGGTCAAATTGCAGGTAGGATCTGACCTAATTAATACTAACAAAGGGCGATACAGGATAGTGATTAAGAGCTGGCACTCTGGACTCAAGACAGATAATGGTTCATAGTCCAAGTGTACCACCCTGGGCTTATTACTAGCTGCATGGCATTTGGCAATTTACTTAACCTCTCTATACCCCCGTTTTGTCTGTAGAATAGTAATAGCACAGTACCTACCTCATACTGTTCCTGTGAGGAATGAATAACACATGTAAAATACTTAGCATAGTGACCCATATATATAATAAATGCTTGATAAATATTTACTTTTACAGTTTTAATGAAGTCATGGTATAGGGGCTAAGAACATGGATCCTGGAGTCAGACTGCCTGGTTTGTAATGCAGCTCCATCACTTAACAGCTGTGTGACTCTGAGCAGGTTTCTTGACCTCTTTATGGCTGAGTTACTGCATGTATAAAATGGGTGATAATAGCAGTCTCTCTCTCTTGGTGTTTGTGTGGATTCAATGAGATAACATATGTAATGTACTTAGAGAACAGCCTGGACACATGGTATTACATGTATAAATGCTCACTACTATTATTATGTCTTGGTTCAATTGATTTATCAACAATCACTTCAATTCCATGCTCAGCATCTTGCAAGGTAAATAGTGTGAAAGTGCGAAAGTAGAAGATATAAAGACAACTTTTAGTAGCTGACTGTAGAAAGGACAACACAAGGGCACAAATAAGTAAATGTGGGATTACATGGCATAGCCTATAAGTACAAAGGAATATCATGTGGAGCTGGGTGAGCCAAGGGATACTAAACAAAGGTGATAGGTTCTAAAGTAGATTTGAAACAAATGCAGGATTTAGACTTAAAAGATATTAGTGGGCATTTTAACTCACATCAAAGACTTAAACTTGGGGGATAGGCGAGAGATGAAGCTCACTTCTGAAATGAGATTAAGACTTATGTTTACACTGGCATCTACTTTCAGCTAGGAAAAAATCCCTGGTCAATCCAAATATGAGGGACAGGAGTCTTGACCACAAACCACAGAGAAAGAGGCGGAAGTAGAGATCAGATCTTAGCTCTGGTTTGGTATTAGGCTCTTGTTTCCCATTTTATCTTATATTATTTGGTTTGAGCAGAAAGAGGGAGAGAAAGGTCTTTCTCCACTGTCCTGGGCCTAACCTGCCTCATCTGGCCAGCCTTCTCTCATCCTTTCTATTCAGCCTGAGAAACTACAGGGAGTGATCAGTTCTGCTGACTTCCAAAACAACAGATGGGGAAATAACAAAGGAGGCGGATAGAGCCAGAACAATCTATCTGAGAATACTTTTATAGTAGAATAGTCAATTTTAGGTTATAGAATGTGACATAGGAGGTCACCTAATACCAAGTTATAGAAATTTAAGAAAAGTTTCAAAGACAAAGATTAGGTAAAATAAACAAGGTTACAGAAGAAGCCCAAATGTAGAGAGAACAAGGAATCCCTAAGAAGATGGGGCAACTTCCAAGACATATTGCAGCCCTCCACTAGATCCTCTGCATTAACCCACCTCTTTCAGAGCCCTTTCTTTCAGTCTGGAAAATAAGCTCTCAAAATTCTCCCGTCACACTTTGTCCTTGGATTCCTCTACGTTTACCCATTCATCACTTCTTGGTGACACCTAGTGGTATAATTTGGACCACAGCCCTGAGTCAGGTCTGTTCACAAGGAGACTATAGAAAAGTACGAAAATCCCATGGCTTCATAAGAACAATCAAGTACTGCCCAGGATATAACCTCAAATACAATAGTTTAAAAAAATCTTGCTTTGTTCAATTCCTTCTTGATGTTGGCTTTCGTAATCACCAACTTGAACAATGTCAGCAGCAGTAAAATGACATTCAGAGAAAAGCCTGCCAGATGTCTCCTTGCCATCAATGGAAAAAATGTGAGATAACCCACACCCCTTAGACACAAATTACTTCACCTGATGCTCTGTCCAACTGTTTTTGCAGTTGTTGAGGACAGTGGAAACTCAAGGCCAAAAGGCAATGTTTTCTTTAAGTTATCTAGATGAGTTATGCAGCTCAGTGATTCTCAACCCTGAATGTACAGTAAAATCACCTGGCAGTAAAGCAAAATCACCTGCGGAAAGTTTAAAACAAATAGCACTGTCTGTGTCTCACCTTCACAGTGAGTTAACTGGCCTAAAATGGGAACTAAAGTCATTTTATATACAAACAGATGTAGTTGTGTAATTGTGTCAATACACAGTTCCCCTTTGTAGTTAACCATTCCCCCATTCCCAGGCAACTGCTCATCTGTACCTTACATAAACCTGTCTTTGCTAGAATGTAACATAAATGGACTCATACAGTATATACTCTTTTGAATCTGGTTTCTTTCACTTAGTATAATGCCTTTGAGATGCATCCATGTTGCTACATTATTAGTTTGTTATTTTATATTGCTGAGTAATACTGAAGGCTATGTGTGGACCACAGCTTATCCATTTCCTGTTTCTGCCCCAGGTTTTAGTAATTATGAATAAAGCTACTATAAATATTCACAGACAAGTTTCTATGAGAACATAAGTTATCATTAATCTTGGGTAAATATCTTGAAATAGGATCACTGGGTAAGATGATTAACTCTTAGAAACCACCAAACATCAACCAGGCATGGTGGCTCACACCTATAACCACAGCACTCTAGGAGGCTTATGCAGGAGAACAGCTCGAGGTCAGGAGTCCGAGACCAGCCTGAACAAGAGCAAGACCCCGTCTCTACTAAAAACAGAAAAATTAGCCAGGTGTAGTGGTGCACACCTGTAGTCCCAGCTACTTGGGAGGCTGAGACAGGAGGATTGCTTGAGCCCAGGAGTTTAAGGTTGCTGTAAGCTAGGCTGACGCCATGGCACTCTACCCCAGACAACAGAACAAGAGTCTGTCTCAAAAAAAAAAAAAAAAGAAAGAAAGAAATCACCAAACATAGGTTGAGCCCAGAAGTTTGAGACTGCAGTGAGCTATGACTGGGCTACTTTACTCTAGCCTGGGTGACATAGCAAGAGCTAATCTCTTAAGGTAAAAAAATTAAAAACAAACAACCCCCACAAAATCACCAAATAGTTTTTCAAAGTGGAGATACTATTTTATATTCCTACTTGCAATGCTTAAGAGTTCCAGTTACTCTGCATGCTTCTCAACACTTGGTATCATGAGTTTTATTCCAGCAATTCTTTTTTTTTTTTTTTTTTTTTGAGACAGAGTCTCACTTTGTTGTCCAGGCTAGAGTGAGTGCCGTGGCGTCAGCTTAGCTCACAGCAACCTCAAACTCCTGGGCTTGAGTGATCCTTCTGCCTCAGCCTCCCGAGTAGCTGGGACTACAGGCATGCGCCACCATGCCCGGCTAATTTTTTATATATATATCAGTTGGCCAATTAATTTCTTTCTATTTATAGTAGAGACGAGGTCTCGCTCTTGCTCAGGCTGGTTTTGAACTCCTGACCTCGAGCAATCCGCCCGCCTCGGCCTCCCAAGAGCTAGGATTACAGGCGTGAGCCACAGCGCCCGGCCTATTCCAGCAATTCTAATTCATGTATATCAGTCAAGATTTTTTTAAAAACTCTTTAAAGCACAACACACAAACATAAAAGTACACAAATCATAATGTACAAATAAACGAATTATCACAAAGTGAACATCTCAATGTAACTACCATGAGGTTAAAAACAAAACAAAACCCACATTATCAGCATTCCTGAAACCCACTGTGCCCCCTCCTAGTCAGTAAGCCCTTCCCTCCACCAGATAAAACGACTACTATTCTGACTTAACAGCACATATTAATTTTGCCTGGTTTTGAACATTATATAAATGGCATCATATTCTTTGTGTCTGGTTTCTTTCCCTTAATAATATGTTTATGTGGTATATAGCCATGTTGTTGTATATAGTTCATTCATGTTCACTACAGTATAGTGCTTCATTATAAGAATATTCCACAGTTTGTTTATCCATTCTATTGATGGACATTTGGGTTGTTTCCCTGGGAGGGAAAACAGTGGCATGAGCTATACGTATGTTCAACTATAACAAATAATGCCAAATGATTTCCGAAAGTAGTTGTACGAATTTATACTCCCACCAGAAGAGTTAAGAGCACTACTTGTTCCATATCCTTGCCAATACTTGGCACTGGCAGTCTTCGATTTTAGCCATTCTGGTCTAAATGTGTGTAGTGGTATTTCATTGTAGTTTCAATTTGCATTTCCCTGATCATTAATGAGTTAGAACACTTTCCATGGATATTGAACATTTGGATACAATCTTTTGTGACGGGCCTTTCTCTTGCCTGTTTTTAAAATTAGCTTGTATCTGTCTTTTTCTTACTGATTTGGAGTTTTGCATGTATCTGACTATAAATCCTTCATTGATTATAATATGTAGCGGACATCTTCCACTCTGTTTGCCTTTCACTCTCTTAATAGTGTCTTTTGATGAATGGATATTCTTAATTTTATTGTGCTACCATCATTTATTTGTTAAAAGTACCCCAGGTAAAGGCAAAAACTGGAAACAGGGTTGAGAACCACTGCTATAGTTGCTGGAGGACCAGAATATGAACTATCCCAAGCAGCAAGGTTTGTTCCCATAGAGTATGCTCACCAGAGACTTCAACTGCTAGAATCCACAGAAGAACAAAGGCAGGAATCACCAAGTAGCAGGTGAAAAGCAACGGGAGAGGAGGGGAATAATAGAAAAAGCTCAAATAAGACATGTCAAAGCCTCTAAAGCACTTCGCATTGTGACTGTGAAACAACTGACACAGAAGAGCTGGATACCAATACAAAGGGTGGGCCCTCTGAAGATTATCAATTACCTGAAACCTATACAACTAGAACCATCCTCATATTGTATGCAGAGTTAGCTGTTCTCCAAGGTTTTTTCTTTATTTTAAGCCTATTTTAAACCAAAATAACATTTGCTGCAATTTTTGTATCTATACTTAAAGCTTTCATTTTCTGGTCATTCCAGCAGGTGAAGAGACTATGATGAGAGAACCCAGTTCTGAGTTTTGAATTATTAGAAACACCTAACTCTTGAAAGAGACTTGGCAAATGACTTCAAACATGACTATAAAAATAACAATAATATCCCTGCAGCTGAAATGCAAGTCCCTTATCAGCAGAAGAAGGCTGCCATAGCATCATGCCAAGAAAAAAACAGAAAGAAAGGGAGCATCTGTTACGCCAAGAAAAGGAGGTATACTTGTAAAAATTGTTGCATCAAAACACCCCAGTCCTAGCTTCACTCAAAAATCAGTTACCTCACTTCAAACAACTAAAAGTAGACCTACCATTCAATTTAGCAATCCCACCACTTGTTATCAACTCAAAGGAAAAGATGTCATTATATCAAAAAGACACATAACACTTGTATATTTATCATAGCACAATTCACAACTGCAAAGATATAGAGTCAACTAAGTGCCCATTAATGAGTGGATAATAAAAAATGTGTGTGTGTGGTGGGGTATATGTGTGTGCATATACACACATGCATACATAACCTATGGAATACTATTCAGCCATAAAATAGAATAAAACAATGTCTTTTGCAACAACTTGGTTGGAACTAGAAGCCATTAACCTAAGTCAATTATCTTAGGAATGAAAAAACAAATACCACATGTACTCACTTATAAGTGGGAGCTAAATGATGGGTATACATGGTCATACAGAATGGTATAATGGACTTTGGGGACTCAGAAGGGGAAGGATGGATGGGAGGGGCTTGAAGGACCAAATACCATCTGTCAGGTACAGTATACATTATTTGGGTGATGGATACACTAAAAGCCCTTACTTCCCCACTATACAATTCATCCACATAACAAAAACCACCTGTACCCCTAAATCTATTGAAATAAAAAGAAAAAAAAATCAATTACCTCACAATCACAGCTAAAAGGTTTAAATGAACTGTACAGAAAAGTCTTGGAAAAATTAGGAACCTACCTTTCTTCTATTTTACCTGACTGAGACCTGAGAAGAGAGTCATATAACAACTGCCCTAGAAAAAAGAGTACAAAGCAACACTGGAGAGTGAGCCCACAGCAGTCATAATCTGTCGCTGGCACAGGCTGTCTCTGTATTCCTGTGGGTGACATTCAAAAACACTAAAATTGGTCAGTTGGTGGCTTCTCAACCTATCGAAATCTGCTAATCCCACAAATGTATCACATCCACACTGCACATAAGAAAAGAAGCAGTAGAGAACTCCGCTCTATAATACTGTAATCCCATATCTCATATAGTCAACTTGGATGATGAAAACACCTTTTCCTAAGGTTTTATTTTTTTTGAGACAGCAGCTCATTCTGTTGCCTCGGCTAGAGTACAGTAGCATCCCCATAGCTCGCTGCAACCTCAAACTCCTGAGCTTAAGCAATCCTCCTACCTCAGCCTCCTGAGTAGGTAGAACTACAGGTACACACCACCACGCCTGGCTAATTTTTCTATTTTTTGTAGAGATAGGATCTCACTAAGTTTCCCAGACTGGTCTCCAACTCCTGGGCTCAAGTGATCCTCCTGCCTTGGCCCCTCTAAGTGCTAGTATTACAGGCCTGACCTATCTTACATGGCCCTTAACGTGTTATGATATAAGCTATTACAAAGGCTTTAAAACAGCCATCCTCAAACTACGGCCCGCGGGCCACATGCGGGTGGTTTTTGCCCGTTTGTTTTTTTACTTCAAAATAAGATATGTGTAGTGTGCATAGGAATTTGTTCATAGTTTTTTTAAAACTATAGTCCGGCCCTCCAACGGTCTGAGGGACAGTGAACTGGCCCCCTGTTTAAAAAGTTTGAGGACCCCTGCTTTAAAACCTTGCAGCTATAATGCATAATTAATTTTTTTAAACCATGAAGCCAGTATAATAAATTGCTTATGTACTTTACTGGTATTTGACAACAGGGTATAGTAGAGGAACTTACCTGAGTTTAAGTCCTGGATCATTTATTTATCTACTCACCAGTTACAGAAACCTTAGGAAAGACAGTTTATTTCTCTGGGCTTCCTATTCACCTGTCTATATGAGGAGTTAAACTAGATAATCTCAGTGCCAATTTCTCCTCTGCTCATGGTGTCTTGCTAGAAGTGCTGAACCAATTTACTTAGCATTTATACTGTCTCCTTCGACACACTGTCAACTCTAGAGCAGGAATTCTAAGCTGTTCTCCACCAGTAAAATCTAGCAGTTTTACGCATGCAAAGTGAGGCTGCTGGGCAGGCCTGTGGGATATCCATCCCTTCTAATAGGTACCTTTAAAATCCTTCTAGCCAGGGCAGTGAAGCAGTGTGAAATGGTGCCTGAAGACATTTTATACTTCCTAAACCTTAATTGTCTGCATCAGAACTTCTCTCGCCTCACAGTCTGTATTTTCATTATATTCCTTGCTGCTGATTTATCTGCACTTTAGATACTTTCTAATTGCCAGGCTTTATATAGGATTCCACCTCCCTTAGAACATTTACCACTAAACCAGTGGTTTTCAAAATTGTTTAAAGCAGAAAAATCATCTATTCAAAGGAAATCTTCAGAATACCAATATGGAAAACAGGTTTTAGAAAGGGGGTGAGGGTGTTACTCTGATTGAAAGGATCATGAGGAAGAGAAGGAGCTACGGGCAGTCAGCTCAGTTTCTCCCTCCTCCCCTTGTCTGCTGGGTCACAGGCACACTCTAGGAGCTTCAGCAGATTCCCAGGGTCTGTGCATCTGCACCTTAAGAAGGGCTAATTCTCCCAGGCATTTAGTCTAGTTTCTGGAATAGGACCTACTGCCCCAATTCATGTGTTCCCTCCACAGCAATAAACTTCAGTCCAAATCATGAGAAATTATTTTGGCATAATCTAATATCTGGCAGTATATAGTAGTTGCCTCTGGGAAAGAGAACTGGGTAGCTAGTGGAGAAGAAGATACTATTATAGTTTGGAATTCTGTACCATTAATTACCTATGCAAAAAAAATAATTTAAAAATAAACAAAAAAAATCAATAAATGTCATTAGGTTCTTGTGAATTCCTGTACCTTGTTGTCCATAATTGTCCACTGGCCCTCAGGATTCTGCTTCAAAACACAGTGGCTTCGAGAAATCATCAGAGGGCAGATTTTTGACACCAGTTGGTAAGTGACACCAAATCCTCGTCCTACAGTCACCTAGGAAGACAACAATGTTAAGAGACACAGTCAGTCATTGTACTGAATCTCGTCAACTAGCATGTGCACAGGTCCTCCTGTAGAATCCAAACAGTTTATCTGCTATCTCCTCTTCATCTGCCATGGGAGCCACCAAATAGAAAAAGGCAACAAGTTGTGACAAAAGAGAGCTAAAAGGAGTTAACCTTGGAATCTCAGGGTTGGTAGGATCCTGAAAGGTCATCTGGTTCAACTGAACCAGAGATGGAGAAATACCATGAGATGGAGAAAATCTACCCATGAGATGGAGAAATTCTTTCTACACATCCCTAATCAACCCATCTTAATGCCACAAACTACAACCTTTATATAAGGCAGGCCCTCCGATTTTTTTTAATGGCTCTGAATTGGCATCTTTCTCCCTATAAATTCAATCCACTGGCACTGGCTCTGCCCTGGACACCATCAGAAAATCCCCATTCCTCCTTCCATGTCACAACTATAGTGACTGAGTCTTCTCTGGCTCTGTATTCCCAGTTCTTCAACCTTACTCCCAGGGCAAGAGTTTGAGTCTCTCTGCCATTCTAATGAGTCTTTGAAAGGACTCCTAGTTTATCTTTTTTCCTGGATGCCACATTAAGAAAAATAAACTTAATTTCTATTACACAGTCAAATTCAAGTGTCACTTTCCCAGTTACAGATATTATTGCAACATATAAATTGAATTAGCTTTCATAGCAGATCTAGTGCACTGCCAATGTACTCTCAGACTTAGGAATGGTTAAAATCCTTGGTTTCCTCCTTCTCCAAGAACTGCTATGGTAAGTCATGTCTCATCCATTCTATACTTAACCAATAGAGAAAAACTGGGATTCAAGTGCAGGACCTTAGATTGGTTCCTATTAAATTTCATCTTCTTAGTTCAGTCTATCACATCAGTTTACCAAGACCCTTCTGAATTTTTAATCTGCCATCAGACTAGACATACTCAATATCCTTCCAGCTTTGAGTCACCCACCAAATTAATATGACACCTTCTGTACCTTCATTCAAGACACATAAAAATACTGAAATGGGATGTAGCCAAAGGCAAAGTTTTCAGGAAAGCTTAGTAAAACATTAACCCACACGATCTGGATATACCTTCAACTAGTCTTTGCATTGAGCATATATTCTTTATCTTATCCACAAGGACAGTATGAGAACCTCTGGAAAAGGTTGAAAGGAAGCCCCAAATCACATCTATCATACTTTCCTGATGGACCAGTCTAGTTCATAACAACCCTGTGAAGGAAGGAAATGAATTCTTCTGAGATCAAAGTCTTAGAATTCCCGGCTTATTCTTTTCAGTGTACAAGCTAACTCTTTAATGACCCATATATATCGCAAACTGGCAACATTAAACCAAAGTCTATGGTTTTCTAAAAACTGCCCTCTTTGCTCCTTTTGAAAATCTTTCCAAATCATGCTTATCCTCCTCAGTTACTCAAAGACCACCATGACTTACTCTGACCTAATCTACTCCTCCCCAAACTCTCATCTTGGTAATTAACACTATCATCCAACCAACTGCTCAACCCCAAACCCAGAAACCATCTTTGATTCACCCCTGTCCCTTATCTCCCCATTCAAATCATCAGTAAATTCTACTGGCTGTAATTCAAATATGTTCTAAATCTGTTCATTTCTATCTATAGCTAAGACCTTAGTCCAAACCACCTGGCCTCTTGTTTTTGCTCCCACTCTAGTCCCCCTAAACTTCACATAGCAGCTACTGTGGAAATGTAAACATCTTAAATCAGATCATTTCCCTTCTTTCCTTAAAACCCTCCAATCATTCAAACTTCTTCCCATGACCTATAAGGCCCTGAATATCCTGAGCCCCTCCACCTGCTTAGTCTTAGTCTTATCTCTCACACTATGGTGACAATACTAACTGCTTCAGCCACTCAAGTCTTCTTTTTGTTCCTTAACCACCCCCACCCCAGTTCCAGCCTACCCGAATGTCTTCTCCTTTTTCCCTCTAAGAACACTCTTCCCTCAGATCTTTGCATGGACACCTTATCTTTCAAATTTCAGCTACTCATAAGCCTACTCTGACTACCCTTATCTAAAGTTGCTGTCTGCTTCCCCTCATCACATTTCTAGTTATTAGGATGTACTTATAACAATCCAAAATTATCTTGCTTGTTTTACTTTTTTCCCCCTCCTACTTACTAAAATACAAATTTCATAAACAGGGACTTTATCTGTCTTATTTACCACTGTATTTCTGTTCAGTAAGTACTGTAGTTGTGAATGAATGAAAGAATAAAGAGATCTTGTCCATGGGTCCTTGCAGATTCTAGAACGGGCACTTTTTCAGGTCAGAAATTATAAATTATATTATTACCACTAGAAAATATGAGCAGCAGCTAGGGACTCTTATTAATCTCACTTGTTCCCTTTAAAATGTTGTGGTGACCATGCCACCCAAACTCTGAGTATTAGGTTTTTCAGTTGACAGTTTGCCAGAAACTCCATTAATTATATAAGTCCCTCTGAATACATATATCCTTTAAAAATAGAATGCTTAAGGATTTATCTGTCATCTATATTCAGCAAAAATTCCATTTAAGTAGCTTTATTTCTCAGAGAGAAAGTATTACATTTTCCACTTTAATACTAGAGGGAGATAGCCAGACTGCCATCGTAGGTACCTGGGAGAAAACAGTACAGAAAAGGTACGGGAGTGCCTTTTTCCGAAATTGCCTACTACAGATTCTGAACCCAAGTAAAAGGAAACATTCCTTTTCATGCTTCCCATTACTGTCTGGTCCTAGAATTTACCTTGGTACTACTGATATTTTACCTATACTAAAGTTAAAGAGTACCATGAGATTATCTGGAAATCTTAGCACCACTTATAACATTAAATTTCCCATGGGAACTGAGTGCTGACAAACTGTCAACCCATATGTTAGGGGCTGTTTCCATTTACAACAGTTTTACAAGTCTTTGAGCTTACTCACATTATTGATTTAAAAGATCATCTTGTCCTTGCCCACCTTCACTAATGCTATCTCTTTCCTCCTGGGCACGACTCCTGCTGTCTCCCAGATGACTAGTAAATACTTCAGAACCATCCTTTCCTTGGAGCAGAAAGCTTCATAAAAACCAAAGACAAAAAAAGGGGGAAAAAGAAAAGTACAATTTTTTTTTCCCCAAAGGCCTAGATATTCAGTGTGTAGGAACTAGCTAATTTGTAGGAAATCTCTACTTGTTTGGTTTTCCATCAAACTCTAGATTGGTTTAAGAAGTTTAAGGACACTCATTTAGGCAGACAATTTTTAGGATTCTCGTCAATGCAATGAGAAAAACCTGTTTTATTATTTTATCTGCAACATTTGAGACTTTGAGAACTGGAAAGGCAGGGAACTGATCTTACTTTTCTGTTATAACTAAATGATATCAACATGACTCTCAAAATCTTGTGCAAACCTGCTTTTGCTGTGGTTTGGGGACCATTACAATACAGTAAGTACAACTTTATCTCTTGGCTTTTATTCAGAACTCTCCTTCTACACACTGCAGGCCATGCTCCAACTACTGCCTGAGACCTGACATTGCAGCCAGCCAGGCCTGGCAGGCTTCTCCTCCACATAGGCCCCTGAGGCACTCTGCCTTCTTCCCACTGTGCCTTTACCATTCTCTGACTATGGGTCTCTCCCCATAGTGATGGCCCCACACAAAACTATCCAGTGGTTTAGAATATGTCTAGGAATGCTTTACAGTCCTCTTGCCCTTGCTACAGGTGCTTTATTTCTCATCTCACCTGCCCAAGATTGCAATACTACCAAGCTATTCAGAGGAATATTAAACCACAGCAACTGAATCTGAAAGAGTGAGTTAAGACTTGACCACCAAGTTACCTTCTAGAGTTGTGTGAGACAGTGCAGTGCACGTGTAAGGATCAGATTAAGTCATGTATGTGAAATAATTTATTTCTGTGTATAAGTGTATTATTCAGGTTGTTAGTGTCTCAATTTGTTAAAATTCACATGATTTTGGAAAGGGCCATACATGGGGAGGTCAGCGATCAAGCTGAAATAATGAATGCTTAATGTGGACTTTAGGCACTAATACCTGGATCAAAGAGGTGTCTGGGGGAAGAGATGTCTTCCTGGTGTCCCTCAAACCACAGCACACATGTAACCCTTTATAACCACCCCCAATCTCGCAACATTTAAGGCCAGACCTGAATCCCTCTTCTGATTTGAGGAACCACTGCCCCAGGATAATACTAAATAATCCACATCTTGGCACTTGATCACAAAGCCCACGTGAATGTTCTTAGACTGCTTCATTGTATAAACCCTTTCCCCCACTCAAGTCCTAAACTCTTTGACTGCAGAAGTTATTTGTCTCTCTCACAGTAAACCAAACAACATAAGTATTCATTACTTTTAATAAATACCTTTGAGACTGAGACTGCATGGCTTATAGGAAAAACCTAACTAAACATACATAATAGTCAAAAGACTTCTTTAAATTATAACAGAACGACCAACCAACCACCCCCTTTCACTGCAAGGGGAACCTTTCATACACATTATTTCCAAAACTCAAATGGTTCCACCAGCCAGCTCGTCCCTGACCCAGTTCTTTCCAAAACTGATTGCAATCCCTCCCTCTCCTTCCCTCCCTGTCGCTACACAGACTCCGTCCCAGTCCTAATGGGACCCCAACTAGAACCGTGCCTCACCCTTCCTTTTTAAAATTTTTAAAAAATTATGCACTTATGACTGCATTAACAAAGATGATAAGCAGTCTCTAGAGAGAACTCTGAATCCCCACCCCCGGCCCACCTCAGCGAGTGCCACCTGGGGTGCACTCGGGGGTACCAGACTCACAGGATAAAGGTGGCCCATCATAAAGTGCCAATTTCCTTCAAAGAGTTGGAAAGGAGGAAGACATTTTTACATTAAAGTCTGAGTATTTTAAGAGACACAACACAAAAGTCGCAATCGTTTTCAAAACAAACTCGAGAAAGTTCATGACCCCGGCGGCCCTTCCAGATTCGGCCTCAGATCCGAGGCGGTTGTGGACTCCGGTGTGAGTTGCGGCAGCTCTGCCTCGGTGCCTCGGTTCCTCGGCCCCAGGCTGGGCACCGATGGGCTTCGTGCGACCCAAACTGCGGCTGCCCCAGTCCCCTGTCCCCTCGCCCTTGAAACCCCAGCCTCTCCGCACACCCTCTGCACGCCCTGTCGCTATGCCCCTCCACTCGGCTCCTTCCCACAACCCCGACGCCCGCCCCAGCCCGTCCTTCAGGCCCAGGCCTCTTTCGAAAGGGCCATCTTCTTATCGCTCTTCCCTCGGGCCGGGGCCTCAGTCCCACCCCGCCCGTTGACGCCCTCCAGGTCTCCCCAGAACCGAACTCCACTTTCTCCCACTTGGCTCCTATTTCTCCCCAACACCTCCCAGCTGACCCCCACAAACGCTCGCACCAGAACCAGACTTCCTCCCTCCTCTCCCTCAACACCCATCCTCAACAACTCGCGGCTCCTCCCTGCTCCCACCTCTTCTTTTCCATCCGCCCCGCCCACTCCAACGCCTCCGCTCCCTTCCCCCCACCCAGCGTCCTCCAACCCCCGTCCCTAGTCCCGACGGGACCCCTGGCCCCCCACCTCGCGCCCATCCTCCAGCAGCAGCCACTCGGCGTTCATCCCCATCCGCCGCAAGCACCAGCTCCGGCCACCGGCGCGGTCTCCTGTGATCAAAAAGCCTGGCTCCCCCATAGCCAACTCGACCGTGGACGGCGGTCACCACCGAACGAGACACGGACCCGGGTTCCGGTCGCCTCTTTGCTGCCTCGCGGGCGCCATACCTAAACAACAGACAGAAGCAATCGCCGCGCGCTCGCGATCGATGCGAACGTACTCTCTGGCTGCGAGCCCGCGCCTCCTCGGCAGGGAAGCCCTGCGCTTGCGCGAGAGGCGGGCCGCGGCGGGGCGGAGACGGTTGGGCCGGGCGAGGCTCTAACTCCAGGCGGGGCGGGCGGAGCCCGAGGGCCTCTACCTCTCCGCCCGCCTTCCTTAACCCTCTGTGGAGCCGCCGCTCCAGTCCTAGCCGCCCTGGACTGGAACTTCTCCTTACCTTTCCTCTTTTTAAAAAAATTTTGCTTTATTACCTCATTATGATAATGATATTCATGTTTTTTAAGCAACTTTAAACTTTCCATAATTTTTTTTTTTTTTGAGACAGAGTCTCACTTTGCTGCCCAGGCTAGAGTGAGTGCCGTGGCGTCAGCCTAGCTCACAGCAACCTCAAACTCCTGGGCTCAAGGGATCCTCCTGCCTCAGCCTCCCGAGTAGCTGGGACTACAGGCATGCGCCACCATGCCTGGCTAATTTTTTTTTGTATATATATTAGTTGGCCAATTAATTTCTTTCTATTTATAGTAGAGACTGGGTCTCGCTCTTGCTCAGGTTGGTTTTGAACTCCTGAACTCAAACGATCCGCCTGCCTCGGCCTCCCAGAGAGCTAGGATTACAGGCGTGAGCCACCGCGCCCGGCCTCCATAATTTTTAAGTCTGTTTATTCTGTTCCTAAACAGCATCTATTTTGCACGACCTCCTTTTATTGCCGAATTCTTAAAAAAACGGGCAGGGCGTGATGGCTCAGGCCTGTAATCCTAGCACTCTGGCAGGCTGAGGACGGGGAGGATTGTTTGAGTTCAGGAGTTCGAGGTTGCTGTGAGCTAGTCTGACGCCACAGCACTCTAGCTGGGACAACAGAGTGAGACCCTGTCTCAAAAAAAAAAAAATGACACTAGGCAAATCTATTCAGAAAGCACAATTACCTGGGGCTAGGTGTGGCAGTGAGTATTGAATATAAAAGGGCTTGAAGGAATTTTGCGGGGAAGGGTGATAGAAATGTTCTAAAAGTGGATTGTGGTGATGATTGCACAACCCAACCATATATACTTCCCATGGGTGAATTTTATGGTGTGTAAATTACCTTGAAGCTGTTAATTTAAAAAATTTATTTAAAAAGAAGCTTAACTTCTTCCCTTGGATTCTCCAGTATAGTGTGATACCTACTACCTCTAGTGACTACCTCTGATAGCTCAATGCCCCCTTTTGTCTTTTCAGTTTTCCAATACCTAGTTAAGAATTTTCTTATATTAAATTCTGTCAGGAGAAAATGTATATACTAAAGGAATGATACAAAGTATAATAGTAAATGGCTTAACGTTTATTGAGAGCTAAGTGCTAGGTAGGCCAAGCACCCTACATACTTTATCTTATTTGTTCGTCACAAACAATATGATGATGGTGGTTACAATTATAATTCCTATTTTAGGGATGATGGGAAAAGAGGAACAGAGATGTTGAATAATCTTCCCAAACTAACAAATTAAATGATGGAGTGGGTCTGTTTCCAAAGCCTAATTTCCTAAGCATGGTTGCAGACCCAACCTGGAGCGTTTTATCCGTGTGGCACTCTCAGATCAAGAACTTCAGTGCATGACATCACAGAGGGTCACGAAAATCGGTGGGAGCCACAGCTGCACTCATGGAGGTGCTTCCTTATGCTATATATGGGTGCCTGTCGGTGCCTCCACCCCACCTTAGCATTCTGTCCCAGGTGTAGCAAGCGCTCCTAGAGGCCACCCTGACAGTTAGTCTGTGTGTCTTCTTAGGCTCCTCTTGGCTGTGTTAGATTCTCAGACTTGCTTTTGATTACCTTGACAATTTGAGAAGTACTGGCCAGATATTTCATAGAATGTCCCTCAACTGGGATTTGTCTGATGTTTTTCTCTTGATTAGACTGGGGTTATGGGTTTGGGGGAGGAAGACGGCTGAGGTAAAGTGCCCTTCTCATCATGTTATATCAAGGGTATGTGCTCTTAACATGAATTATCACTGTCGATGTTAATCTTGATCACCTGGCTGAGGTCGTGTTTGTTAGGTTTCTCCATTGTAAACTTACTCTTTGGATACTCTTTCCATACTGTACTCTTTGGAAGGAGGTCACAGTTGCCTTCCCAGCCACACTTAAGAAACAGGGAATTATGCTCCATCTCCTTAAGGACAGAATCTCTTCATAAACTATTTGGAATTTTTCTGCACATGAATTTTGTCTCTTCTTCCCTGTTTATTTATTTTGCTTATTTACAAATGATTATTCATTCATTTATTTATATCAGTATGGACCTGTGGGTATTTATTTTATACTTTGGGTTATAATCTAATACTGCTTTATTTGTTCCTCAAATTGTTCCTACTTTGGCCATTGAGAGCTCTTTCAGTTGGCTATGGTGTCCCTTTGACATACTCTCATTATTGTGTTTTATTGGGCACTTTTTTACTTTATGGCACAAGATGCCCTTATACATAGAATCAGCCATTTCTCCAAGGAGTCCTGGTTCCTTTTATTGGGAAATAGCATTAGAAACCAAAATCTGGCCACTAGGTGCACTACTAGAATGTTGTTGCTTCTAAGCCCTCTCAGCTGACAGGGCAAGTAAATATACAGGTGAATATTGACCCCTCTGTATATACATATTCATGAATATTATGCACATGTGTGTGTGTGTATATATATATGTACATATATACACACACACATATATATATACACACACATATACATACACACACACGTATATATGCCTGTAAGCTAAACATGAGTTCATCCTGATGTCTTTTTTTTTTTAGACAGAGTCTCACTTTATTACCCAGGCTAGAGTGAGTACCGTGGCGTCAGCCTAGCTCACAGCAACCTCAGACTCCTGGGCTCAAGCAATCCTCCTGCCTCAGCCTCCCAAGTAGCTGGGACTACAGGCATGCGCCACCACGCCCAGCTGATTTTTTCTATATATATTAGTTGGCCAATTAATTTCTTTCTATTTATAGTAGACACGGGTCTCGCTCTTGCTCAGGTTGGTTTCGAACTCCTGACCTTGAGCGATCTGCTCACCTGGGCCTCCTAGAGAGCTAGGATTACAGGCGTGAGCCACTGCCCATCCTGATGTCTTAAACAACTCTAATCTATTACCACCTGGATCATCCTAGCCATCCCCCCTTGCTTATCTGTAACCTTCCACTTCAGAAGTGAGAAACCTGGTCCCCACCGTCTGTCATTCCTTTACTTAATCGTTCACTTCCAGTGTACATGTATAGTGGTTTCAGAATTGTTAACCCTCTGATCATGGAAATAACTTTAGTACTTATATGCAGATCTTTTGCCTCTTTTGCCTTGAGAGACTCCACCCATTTCCAAAGTTTCTTAGGTCAGCACCCTTTTCTCCACAACCTTCAGAGAGGTTGTATCATGCCTTTGTAATACAATTAGATTCTTTTGTCACATAGTCTGCATTCTATCTGGGATTCCCTGTCCTGCTAAATGACTTTTTAAAATTTATATACATTTTACATGAAAAATTACTGACTGATGCATACATTAAGTTTAATGTATACATTAAGGTTCACTCTTACTGCAAAGTTCTGTGGGTTTTGATAGAAACTTACTGTATAGTGTTATGTATCCACTACTACAGTATCATAGAAAATAGTTTCATTGCCCTAAAAAAAAATCCTCTAGGCTTCACCTATTCAGTCCCACTCCTGCCCCCTGCACCTTGCTTGTTTTATTTAACTGTATATCCTGGAGATTATGCCATAGCAATATATACAGATATTCCTCCTTCCTCATTACAGCTGTCTATTGCTCCATTGTGTAGATGTACCATTATTTACTCAACCAGTCCCATATTGATATACAGTAGGGCTCTTCTGCTGTCACAAATAGCCCTGCAATGAATTAGTAGGTACCATTTTTG